CCGGTGAAGTAAAAAGCCAAGAGCTACCTCACTGCCTCTCCCTCTGGCATCATTAAGCTGGAAGCAATGAAGGAAAAGATTTAACAAGAGTCAAATGACACTATAGGCAAAAGACTGAAGTAGAAGATATTTACTGGGGGAGGGGAGATTTTTGCCTGCTCTTCTACAAGAAGCAGAGCCTTTATGCTACCTCCTGACTGTCCCCAGGCTCAAGCAATCATTACATCGGCAAACCACTGCAGTCTCCTCCTTCGTTCTGTCTAGACCCAACCCAACACATTCCACACTCTCATGCAGATGAATTTTCTGAAAACACAAGGCGGATCCCTATTCCACTTTCATTTGCAACTTTTTAATTAGACATATCATGCTACTGTGCATTATTATAGTTATGTGTGCCTATGTCATACCTCCCTCAATAAACTGTAATGCCATGGGAGAACCCAAACTATATTACTCGTATTAAACAATCTTCACTCATTCATTCAAAACATGCATAAAATATGTGTTATGTACCAGGCACGATACTAGCCCCTAGAGATGAATCAGGTCATTCCCTTCAATGTGTTTAAAATCATATGTGTATATGTCGGTTGTGGGGGCTGGGTGGGGAGAGCCATATAAAAAGAAAATTATAATGCATGAAATTATTTACACTGTATAATATTATGATATAATTGCGATATATAATATATTACTATCTCATAGGCACCAGGTAACATAAGATCACATAGAAGGGGCTCCTACTAGGAGCACCTGGGTGGCTCAGTCATTAAACAACTGCCTTTGGCTCAGGTCATGATCCCAGGGTCCTGGGATCGAGCCCCGCATCGGGCTCCCTGCTCAGAGGGAAGCCTGCTTCTCCCTCTTCCACTCCTCCCGTTTGTGTTCCCTCTCTGGCTGTGTCTGTCTCTGTCAAATAAATAATTAAATCTTTAAAAAAGGGGGGGGCTCCTACTAAACCCTTGGGCAGATCAAGAAAGGCTTCTCAGAAGAAATAACATCTAAACTGATAGCTGAAGCATCAGCAGATACACAGGGAGAACCAGGAACTATGGGCAGTCCATTAAGACATAGTAGTGGCAAAGAAGAAGCCTTGAGAAATATACAGGAACCAGATCATAAAAGGGCTTAAGCCACATTAAAGAGTTTGAAGTTTATCTTGAAGGAGTTGAATTGCTTTAGTAAGAGGAGTGATATGATCAGATTTCTACTTTAAAAATGACCACTTTAATTAGAGTATAGTAGTCATTCAAAGTGTTTGTTGAACACATGACTAGTTAAGTGTAAGTAGCATAGTAAAAAAGATTGCAGGAATTCAAAAGAGAGAGAAATCAGTGAATCGGTGCTGGCTGTGATACCCCAAAAAGGTTTTATGAAGCAGTTTAACTCGTCTTTCAAAAATGTACGATTTTGATAGGGAAAAGCACTTTCTAGTTGGAAACAGGAAGGGTACAAGGAAGATAATGAGCTAGGAAGTAGCTGTGCAAAAGTTTCAGGTGAATTCACAGAAGAGCAAATAGTTTAGTTTAGTGAGTGCTAGGTCTGGAGAGATAGGTTGGCATCTCAGGGTCAGTCTTGTGGGACGGGGGGCCTTGAATGCCAGTCTCAGGATTTAAACTTCACCAGCAAAGAGACTGCCAGCTCCTGGCTGAGTTTTGAAAGGAGAGAGGCATACTCCAAGTGTTGTGTTAGGAAGATTGAATATGAACTGGAAGAGGTTTAAACACAAGGTCCAGGTAACAGGGTATAGGAATGTAAAAGGAAAATCAAAAGCAGGAGATGTGCTGCAAGATACATATCAAAAAAAAAAAAGAGTTAGAAGTAAAAGCATAGGGTTGGGTGATGGATGAAACAAAGGTCACCTCACTTGCCAACCTCCTACGTCTCCAGCACCCCTACTAATTTCCCTGGCAGGCTGATTTATCTGAATAGATGCATTTCCTGCAGCTTTGTGTTATCATTTGGATGATGAGAGTCTTCTCTTTTATGAAGCTGTTTAACCAGTGTCCACACCTAAGAACTAGGAGGTAAGGTTTTTTTGAAAAGAAAATGAAGAGAAAAGAATATTTGGAGAATGAGAGAAAACGATCGGAACAAACTGAGGCCATTCTTAAGTCCCCTGAATCAATCACCCAGGGTATTCATTTAGTTGGGGCACCACTGTTTATTGCAGGACCCCCTGAGATAGACCAGACTTACACCCAGTCCTGGGACCCCAGAGGTTGAATTAGCTCAAAGAGTTCCCTCCTCTCATTGTTGGGGTCACCTCCTCTACCCGCTCTTTGTAACCTCAGTAAACACAAGAAGCAGAAGGATAAACTCAATTGTTCTGTTGTCTCCTGTTTGAACTCGGGTCACTTTGGTCTCCCAAAGCGACAACTTAATTTAATAGTACTTAGGGATACTGAAAAAAAATATTAGAAACCCCCTTCCAAAATTGTCTAACAAACTTCCAGGGTACAGTAGTCTATTACTTAAGAAAAGCTGACCTAAGAAACATCACAGCCCTCATCCAAAGGAACAATGTCATTTATAAATAGATCTCTTAGAAGAGTCAATAAATCCCTGGCTCATCAAAATAAATTCTATTTTCTCAGCCTTTTTCAAAGTCAGAAAGTCAGGCTTCTCACAATAGGCCCGTGTATTATTTATTCTACTTTACGGCCGGTGGGGAAACTGAAGTTGCATTCTTTAAGATAGAGATATTAAGGGGCGCCTGGGTGGTTCAGGTGGCTAAGCGTCTGACTCTTGGTTTCGGCTCAGATCCTGATCTCAGGATGGTGAGATCAAGCTCCTAGGCAGGCTCGGCACTCAGCAATGGCTCTGCTTGGGATTCTTTCTCTCCCTCTGTCCTTCCCACTCATGTATGCTGCCCTTGCTCTCTCTCTCTCTCTCAAATAAATAAATCTTAAAAAAAAAAACAATAGAGATATTAATGGCTGTAAATTTTGTTCCAAATTGGATGGTGTCTTGCTATAACAGATATGAATGCCAGCTAATTAGTAGATTCTCTGCAATGGCATTTCATTTGTCACTGTTTAACTGATGACTGTTGTTTTCTTTAGCACTTTTTAGTTGATGTTTGTTAGGCCTGATTACACGATAAACTTTCCTCAGCTTCCCTTTGTTTCCAAAGTAATTATGGGCTTCTTCCTCTCTCTTTTTGATGCCCACAGATGCCATAATGAAGGCAGTTAAATATGCAAACATGAGAATAAGAAACATGGTGTCCACATACATATAATTTACTTATTGAGGCATCCGAATTACTCATAAACTGGGGATTATATTGCTAATAAAATTATCCGATTTTCCAAAAAAAATTGGACATATTTTCCAGTGTCTTCGCCAACAGATGGTTCAGGGGTCTTTTGTCACTTTATAATTCATCTACACCTCTCCAGACATAACAAGATAAGGAGATAATGTAAGTGAAAACAATGTGTGGGCCACAGATATGCAGCTGCAAGCGAATCCCCACACTTCTTTCCAAGCACATGACCGCCCCTACTCCTACCTAGAACATTTTAGTCAGCTATTTCCCCTAACTGAAGAGACTGCAACTAGACAGAAAGTACTTAAGAAGGTGTTTGCTTTATTTTCTAAAATAGTATATACTATGGAGGCATTTCAGTTATCCAACATAGAAGTTCTCAGACTTTAAACCAACGGTAATATCATGCCAGAACGGGAACTATACATAATTTACCAAAGAACATATATAAGCAGACCACAAAACACTTCCAGATCAAAGGCAGTTCACTCTCTGAAACCCCCACGGCATCAGAAAGTCCTACTTCTTCCCGAGTATTGTATGTTTTAATTGAGGTAAGATATTTCTAATAAAAAAAAAAATGCCAACCTATCTGTAATTTTATTAGCAAGGATTTTACCTGATTAAAGTTTCCCTATCTGGCATCTAAGATTAGATACGTTGGGAAATGCTAAATTCCTAAGTGGTGAATACATAGTATGCAGTATTTCCCAAACATCTCAGAACACAAACACTTTTTCTAACACAAACTAACATTGCCCAGAAGTGGCAAACACTATGCAAATACTGCATACTGCTGTTCATCATCAGTTGTCACTGGAACAAGAGCAGAAGGAAAAAAAAAAATCAAAGCGTTGAGTTAACTGAATTTTTAGAAGTGGGGAGGAGTTCTGGGGAGGATGCTAAAAGCACACTTTGCCTACCTCACAGTTTTAAGAAATACTCAATCACAAAATATTTATTATGGAGGTGACTAGGAATCTATAATGGCATCTTTTTTTTTTTTTGAAACTTACTAACAGGTATGATCTTAAAATTCTCCCAGGTAGCTCATGGCTGTCTTTAAATCCTAGGCATTACCAAATGTCTGGCTAATACTGTGTATACATACTGAGAAATATATTTTTATTTTGAATGAAAATTAGAATCAAACACTTGACCTGACAAATGACTAAAAACTAAGACTCTAAACCCAGTCTGGGCATCAGCTGGGTATGTGATCTTGGTCAAGGCCTCCTTGGTTTCCCGATCTCTGTACAGTAGACCCTTCAGCTCATGAAACCCACCTAGGAAAGACACCTACAGCAGTTCTTACCCATCAAGCAACAGTTGATGAGGATGGCATGTGAGCCACTATCTTTGCTGGGAAGATTTAAGTACACCGTTCCAATCTAAAAAGCATCTCATAAGGTGCTTCCAGCCCTCAACTACTTCATAAACTGTTCTGTAAAATTTTATAACCACAGGCGTCTGCCCTCTCCGCTCCTCAGGAGTAAAACTGCAACTTCTGGCTCCCTCAGCAACACCAGCCCTTTATAAAACCCTGGTAAAAGAAAGCCCAGGGTGGTGCGAATCAAGGGCCACGGATCAGTTACCGCCTCACACTTGAAAAATGCCCCGATAGTCTTCCTCCCTCTCTTTTCCCAAATAAATAGCGTTCTTGTACAAATGAAAGTCCACGGACCCCGAGAGCATGGAAGGGCTGCGGGGGCCCCGGCCGTACCTGATTGAAGTGCAGCTGCCCGGGCTCGGCGACACCCTCCGCGGGGGCGGCTCCCAGCTGCTCCAGCAGGCGCGCGAGCTGCGCCGCCGACAGGCTCCGATTCGCGCCGAACACGCTCAGCACATCCTCGCTAAAGGCGAGCCCGGGCCCCACCGCCGTGCCTCCGATGCCCGCGGCCGCCAGCAGTAGGAGCCCAGCCACCGCCCGGCCCGGGGCCATCCTGGCCGGGGCTGCCTCTCGAGGTCCTGGAACGGGCTGAAGCGCACCGGGACGCTCTGGGCGCACCGGCTTCGGTGCCCAAGGGCGCGCGGATCACGCGTCGTCGGCGCGGGTCCGAGTCAGCCGTGACGCGGGCGCCCCTGGTCCTCCGCCGCCTTCGGAAGAGCAGCAGCCCGCGACCTGCGGGGCATTGAAGTGGAGGTGCAGCGGGGGTGGGGAGCGATAAGCAGAGCGGGCCCCCGGCCTCCTGGAGAGCCTAAGATAAAGAGGACAAAAGGGGACAGAGATAAAGGCCAGCGGGCCACCCGCCGGCCAGCCCCGGGAGCACTGCCTTGCCGGAGCCCTCGAACGCCCGGCCGGGCAGGGGGCCAACTGCCCCGGAGCCGGGTTTGCAAATGTCCCAGGATTTGCATAGTGTGGTGACACACGCTGCTCCCGGATATAAAGCCCCAAACCAAACAATTTCTTTAGGAAGAACTAAAACCACTCTCACTATAGAACCCCACCTCTTCTTCCTGTCTTGCTGCTAAATTCCCTCTGAGCAAACTTAGACGCGGTGGGACAAGGCAGTCCCCGAGGAGCTGCAGGAAATAGCTCTTTCGGAGTCCTGGACTTTGCGTCTAAATGGGACCCTCCCTCTCCCAGATCTCTTTGCTGGGCTTGGCAAACTAACCTGCTAACCTCTCACCTCGCCTGTCTCTTTCTGCTTCTGCGTCTCTGTGTGTGTCCACGTGAGTCTCAGTCTCTCTCTTTCTCTGTCTCTCTCTGTCTCTCTCTCTCTCTCAACACTATCTGGCAAGTCCGCTAGGAAACTCCGAGCTCGGGCCCTACCCCCTTTACAGATAAGAGGCGGGCCCTGTCCCCGCCTCTCTGGCACGTGGTGACACGCACTCCCCCAACCTGAACTCCCGCGCGCGTCCACGCCGGGGCGCAGAGCCACCGGCGTTGCGCGTTCCTGCCCGCCGCCCCCGCTCCTGACCCAGCTCTCCACCCTCACCCCGGGGGGTTACCTGAATGCCACATCTGTGTCGGTGTCCCCAGCCTCCTTTCTGGTCTCGGTGGTCCCTTTGTTACCTTGCTGAAACCAGCTTCCTGGAATAGAGTCTGGAGCCCCATGCATTGTCTAAGAGATTAGCAGGAATTGGCTTTTTTGTCGTACTTCGTAAACTCCGAGGAAAAAAAGGAAACCAAATCTGCAGCGTGGTGGCGGGCTGACTGAGCCTGCACTGCCCAAGTCGGCCCTTCCTGACGCCGCACAGGATATCCGCAGATCAGAATAAGTGTTTGTTTGTTCAAATGAGGGTTCAAGAAAAGCTGACAGGTGTGAGATCAACAAGCTTGTGCAAAGTGAATGCGGTGTTTGGGGACAAAGGTTGTGTCTAGTGGATATAATTGTCCAGAAATAAAGTAAATCTTGGTTCGCTGCTCCATGGCTAAGTACAATAAGAAGAATTCAAAGTGGTGTTCTTGCCTTTCACTTGGAGAGTGCACAGCCTCCTAAAACAGCCGAATTTAAGAGACACTAAGTGCAGAAAAAGGCAAGGAGATGTGGAAGGGGGACTTAAATATAAATGTGAAAAATAGAGACAGAGAGAGAAAATTCCAGAGGGATAAGGATCTAGGTGGACATAACTGAGGGCTATCATATGGAAAATGTTTAACTGTATTCTAACCAGTAACAGGGCAGAGTCACTAAGAGGAAAGTTTCTGCAGAATATAAAGCACAAGTGCTTTGGGAGGTAGTGATTTCTCCATGATTGAGAGTGTTTCAAACCCACAGGTAAGTGGTAGAAGGATTCCTGTCTTGGAGGGAGATCAGCAAAATGATCTTGATGGTGTGTCCCTTCCAATTATAAAATCTGTATATTTGTTAGTAATAATTTATGAAATTATAATGGTACAAAAAGGGCAAATATTTCACCCAAGGGCCAGAAGTAAGTTCATGTCACAGTTAAGCTCTTAAATTATACAAATGATGGGACTCTTCGAGATTTTTATTGGATTCTTAAATGTTGTTTGTTGTTTATTTTTCCTTTTGACCTCAGTGACTCAAGGTGATTCTTTGAAATTCATGAATGCTTCAGGTAGTTCATCCACATCCAGCAAGTTGTTTATTCCCAGCTTGAACTGCAACATTGCTAAGATGTTGGATTTTCCACAAATATAAATGGGTTTTAAATAATACAAATTTGTATTGTGGATTTTTTTAAATAAAATTTTTGTATTAGTCATTCATGTCTAAATACAAACATTTTGTCTGCCCATCAACCCCAAAAGACAATAAACAGTAAAATAAGTAATAATCAACTTGCTTGGCAACTTTACCAAATACAGTTAGTATGATTTAAGCATGCAATTAAGAGAGAGTATTCAGAAAATTACAAGTTACTAACTACCAAATTGGCAAGGCTAATTTCTAGATCTTCCACTCTAATGAAATATAATCAACAAAGTACTACTCAGATAATGTTTTAGGGCTCAAAATATGGCATTCTATCAGCAATATCATTACTGAAAAAAAGGACTTCCAGTTTAAAAGATAAAGTGTAATGTTAATAACTATAATTTCTCTGAGAAATTTGCCTGAAAGTTTTAAGTAGTTTTAAATGGTAATATTTAACTGAGCATGCCAGGAACAGCAGCCAGGATATTGAAAGATGCTTTCTCTTTCTGACAATGTCACCTGGGAATCTTGGTGACAGGTTCAATTCCTTCATCTATGAAACAGGAAAATTGGGATAGAAGAACAAGTATCTACTCCAGCCTTATTTCTAAATGTCTAATTTAGGGCGCCTTGGTGGCTCAGTTGGTTAAGCAACTGCCTTCGGCTCAGGTCATGATCCCAGAGTCCTGGGATCAAGTCCCACATCGGGCTCCCGGCTCAGCGGGGAGCCTGCTTCTCCCTCTGACCCTCACCACTCTCATGCTGTTTCTCTCTATATATATAAAATAAATAAATAAATAAATAAATAAATAAATAAATAAATAAAATCTTTAAAAAAATAAAAAATAAAGTTCTAATTTAGGAGTCATCTTTGAGAACAAAACATGAAACTCCTAGAAGAGAAATAAAAGTTCAATTCTCCAGAGGCCCCTGGGTAGCTCAGTCAGTTAAGCCTCCAGCTCTTGATTTAGGCTCAGGTCAGGATCCCAGGGTCCTGAGATTGAGCCCCTCCCTCTTTGTCCTTGCACGGGGCTCCCTGCTCAATGGGGAGTCTGCTTATCCCTCTCCCTCTGCCCCGCACTCCCTCTGCCCCCCATTCATGCTCTCTCTCTCTCACTCTCTCTCTTTCAGATAAATAAATAAATAAATCTTTTAAGGAAAAAAATTATTCTCTCTCTTCCTCGGCCCCTCCCTTCTTCTCTAAAAAATATCAATTCTCCAAGGGAAAGGACATTTAAAGTCAAGCCTTACTTTTTCTAATAGCTTCAAATTTTCTTTTAAACTTTCTCATGCATTCATTTCCCTGTGGAGGACTAACAAGCAAATTGAAGAGACAACACATCCCCTTCCCTTCTTCCCCTTCCCTTCTCTTCTGCTTCCTCCAGTCTTAAAGCCATGAGGTGGAGCATAGCATGGCAAATAGTATCTGTGTGGAGGGCAGTCACAGTGACCCAAAGAGAGGTGCATTTGGAACCTGAACGAGAGAAGAAGGGTATCCAAGGAGGAGGGAAATTTAGTGTGGGCAGTTATAGCCCACGCAGGGTGGCAAAGATGTCCAGATGGTAGAGGGAACATGGAAAATCAGAAGATGCATTTATTTCTGGACAACAAGAGCGTGTGCACGCAGCCTAGCACAGAATATCAGCACCCAGGTATGATGAGCATCCTTCCCAGTATAGTTTGTCAGAGCCCAGGCTGGAGGGAGAGTGCGTCCACAGTGGCCTGGTATGGGGTCTCAGAACCAGAGCGAAGATAGGAGGGCATCTTTGGGTGGAGGGAGAGAGAGGCAGCTGAGTGTGGAGAGTCAGAGCCTGAACGGGTGAGAGAGGGTCTGTGCTTGATGATGACCTGCATAGAAAATCAGAGATGAAGAAGGGTGAGGAGAGAGACCCTGCTGAGCAATAGCATGAGGTACCAGACTCTGTGCAGTGAGCAGAGAGCCGCCCCACACAGAGTGTGTGACAGTGGGATTTATAAAAAGAAATATGTATTTGGTCTTCATCCCAGTTTCTGGCACACAGCTCCTAAAACCCTTGGATTTCCCAAGTTATGAGAATGACAAAGGTGTCTGAGGTGACTTTTGGACCACACCTGAAGTTGGGGGCTGCTTGCCAGGAGAATCAACCATATGATTATAAGGCTGTAACTTTCAGTCCCACTCGCCTGACTTCTGCAGAGAGATGGCCTGGAGGTTGACTCAATCGCCAATGGCCAATGATTTAATCAATCATACCTATGTCATGAAGCTCCCATAAAAACCCAAAAGGACTAAGTTTGGAGAGCTTCCAGGTTGGTGAACACATGGAGATTCATGAAGAGTGGTGCCCCTGGAGAAGGGTAGAAGTCCCAAGCCCCTTTTCCACACCTTGTCCTGTGCATCTCTTCCATCAGGCTGTCCCGGAGTTACATCTTTCTATAATAAACCAGGGATCTAGTAAGTAAACTATGTCTCAGAGTTCTGTGAGTCATTGAAAACTCCAATCTATAGTCAGTCAGTTAGAGCACAGGTGTCAGCTTGGACTTTGTAACTGCTGGGGGTAAGGGGTAGTCTTGTAGGACAGAGCCCTTAAACTATGGGTTCTGATGCTATCTCCCAGTAGGTAATATCAGAACTGAGTTGAATGGTGGGACCCTAAGCTGGTGTCTGAAAATTGCTCAGATGTGTGTAGAAAACCCCTCATATTGAATTTGGGGTGCAGAATCATAGAGTGTCAGGACCCAAGCAAGAGAGGGAGGGAATGAGAGGGAAGAAAATGGCAGCAGAAGTAAAAAATTAATTATACGTAAAGGGATTCATTAAACACGTGACTATATTAAAGATAATCGCAACCAGTTTTCTCACTGTCAAGGAAGGAATTTGCAAACTTGGAGAGGGAGAAAACTTAGAATGAACCCATGCTGTTGGGTTAGAATTGGAGCTATCATTGCAAATTCATGGTTTTCACTACATAAACAGATAAAAAAATATATGGTTGTAAAAAAATAGCCTAGCTCTGGCCACTGGCAGGCCCTGGAAACAGTGATGCCCCAACAACAATCAATGAGCATACCTATGGCCCTCAGCTTAGCTTCTAAAAACTAATCTCAGGGGGTGGCTGGCTGGCTGGCTCAGTTGGAAAGAGCATGGGATTCCTGATCTCGGGGTCGGGAGTTTGAGACCCATGTTGGGGGTAGAGATTATTTAAGTAAAAATAAAACTTTAAAAAAATTAAAAATAAAATAGAAACTATTCTCCTCTAATAGGAACCTGGGCTCTTTGGAGAAAAGTTTGATTCCAGGACTAGGCAGACAAAGCACAAGCTAACCCTGGAATCTCTCATTGTGCCTGAAAACAAGGAAGTGGTCAAAGAATGTAGAAAATACATATTAAAGTA